TATCGCAGAGGTCGTGGGTTCGAATCCCGTTCAGGCCTGAATGTTTTTCAGGCTCTAATTTTACAAGTGCTTAAGTTGTGTATAACTGCGATGATCAATCATGTCTTCAAATTTTTTACTGTCAGTCATCTCCGCCCCTGTGCGAAAAAGGCTACGCGAAAAATCTTGCCAATTTACTCGGGAGTCATCAGTTTTCTCTAAACTCGAGAATATAGTGAACATCCTATGTTACCTTGTCTCCAGATACGTATATGTATGTTCCAGTTTCATAACTAAGGTCGTGTTCTATTGAGATCAACCATTTCAACCGCAAACAATTTGGAATGATACGGTTGACGTTTCTCAACAGAACACTTTCGGTTGACACGCGGTAACTCCTTACGTGAGCTTCAATCACGGAACATAATCACGCAAAATCTTTTCCAACCGGTTCAACCTGGTTTTAGACCGGTTGAAAACGTTGCAGAAGTTGATCAACCAAACCAACTGAAAACAGTTTTTCCCCAATAAAACACGAAAACGTCCAACAAACTCAACCAACCAGAAACGGTTGATCCCAATAGAATACGGCCTAAATTGTTCTTTTCTAGTGAACGGTTACATTCGTGACGCTGGATAGCATTTTGTACGTGAAATTTGCACTCAGATCGTTCAAATGCTTTACATTGTGCTTGCGTTACCTTCAGTAACTATTGTACCGACTGCTTTGTCCTAGAGCAATGAACCTAAAATTTTCTACACGGCGTTATTCCTTGTTTCATCTTTATTCGCCCTGTTCTGCCTTTATTTTGCTTAAAAGCCAAGTAGCATAATTTTGATGCAAGGGCGTCATTTAGAGAAACGAGCATAATTTGCAAAAATTTTAAGCAGTGCTAAGAGCATTATATGCCAGTCTTACGAGCACAATCAACAAAAGCCTTTAACCTCAAACCCACCTAAATTGTTATAAATCCACCCAGAAACATCACGTGAAACAAGGAAACACACACCTGAAGTGAGGTAGGTTTCTCTTTATTTTCTGACTCCCTCGTATTTCTAAGGCAGATAACCGTTTCTCCCATACAAATCCTTGTATTTCGCCTGTTACGTAACCTGAGTACTACGAGAAAATGCAGGCTATAATCCGAACTATTTTTGGCACGTTGATTCTTTTTTATGGAAAATTCTTGCCAAACGTGTAAGAAACTGTAAAAGTCATCCTGTTTCGTGCCAGCCAACGCTATAAAAATTCATAAAGGGATCGAGAAGGACAATAACCTTGAAAATAATTAAGGCGTTGACTTCGGTACCTATCATTCAATAAGTAAAGCCCTGGGGGGAGGGGTACCCCTATATATAAGCTATATGGGTATGTGCCGCTGTGAAGGGTGTGATTTTCAGGCAGTTTAGTATTCAGAGTATACAAATCAGACAGTTTTGGTCAAGATTGGAGTATAATTTACCGGAAAAGTGGTCATTGTATGAATAATTTAGTGTAGAGCAGGGTTCTATAATAGAAACTGAAACTCAGAAGTGACTTTGTATGACATTGGTTTAGTTAGAGCATGTATTGGACTAAGTTAGTGATAAAGTTTCTGCATTGAGAATAGCTAGTCTGGGATAGGGTAGGGGGTTGTAGTGCCTAGTCTAGAATAGGGTTGCAAAATCAAGCTGATCATGGTCTAGTATAGGGTAAGGGTTTTATGGTCCCAGTGGCATACCCGACCCAAAGATTTACATTAAGTCTCCCCCGGAGTGTAAAGCCGTTCACAGGCGTGCTCCAGACGTTAGAAGCAGGCAAAAGAAGCGGCAAAAAAAATGGCGATTGTGCGAGACCGATTGTGTGAGTTTACAACCTGAAAAACGTTTCTGTAAATAAAATTCTAGTGTAAGTTAAAACATGGCTCACCTGACGGGGACAGTGCGCTGTTGACTTGTTAGAGAGTGTAGCACAACCGGAACAAAACAATCGATCTCTAAAAAAACGGTTCTGAAGTCCGATGCTTGGTTAAGTTTACAAATACACACCACTTCCATGTATCGTGAGACTCAGATGAGAGTGTTAAGTTATAAGAGAAGATCATATGACACCTGTTGCTCATGTGAGCGAAATATCAGAAACATTGAAAACTCGCCAAGGTCAAACGCCGTACTACACATGAGCCGAACCTAATGACAGTATGGGTCGACTCAAATAATTAAAAGAACGCCTGTTTGAGTTAAACGTCGAACTTAATTCAGTCCAACCGAACTGCTACACCAAATAAATAACAAAAGCGGTCTTGTTGGTCAGTGGTTTTTCAAGGTAAAGTCAAAATGGCGCCTTTGGACCTCATATGAAGATCGGCGTTTGATCCAAAGTCGGTCTTCAGGCGTTATTCACGGCTGGCCAGGCGTGAAGAACGCCTCAGCCGCTCCAAATAAAATCAGTCGAACTTAATTGGGTCAAACGCCGAACTTCACATGAGCCTAATTGGTTGAATTGGATTCGGCTCATGTGAAGTACGGCGTTTGACCCGGGCCTTATACGCTTATTAACATGCCAATGACTTTTGAAATGTTGATCACATGCCGAGAAACGTGTAAGGATGCTTTCTGCATTTTGGGTCAAATTATGTCTGCGTACGTACCTTCGTTGGTTGGCGAAATGCTCACATAGCACACAAAGATAACCCATAAGGCGAATTGCTGCAGGGGCTGCTAATTGTATCCAGTTTTCTGCGATTTTTCAATCTCACGACGACAGAATTTGAAAAGACTTTTCATCACCTGATAACCTTGTGCACGTGTAATATGTTATACGTGTTCACTTTTTTCAGCTTCAGTAGCACCCTCTATCACAGTACTTTGTGACAAAAGTGGACTTCTCAAGTGTATTAAGAAGGACCCATCACAAGTTCTGGTACAAAAACGTTGTACCGAGGTTATTTACATTGTATCGCAAACTTCTGTGCGACAGCTTTCAATATCTTCTCAAAAGAAATCATTTCTAGCAACACCAAATGTCAAAAACAAATTTTGAAGTTCATACTATGAAACACTTGAAAGTACTGGTGAAATGAAACCGATGATGAAATTTAACCTGTGTCTGCGCAATTCCTCTGAACTTTGAAATTTATTTTCTCGAGTTCCCATGAAAAATTGTTTTTGGTGTTATTTCAGGCAGCTGCTTATATCTTTAGCTTTTAGAAAATGCAAAATGGACTGTACTATACTGAAAGTTATTCTGGTACAAGGTCTTTGCCCATTAAAAACTGAAAATGCTCGGTTTGCAATCGGATTTCGCCTTAATCTTTCTACGAGTGAAAATGTCTTTTAGATCTCGACTTTTCCAGGTCATGCTGATTGACAGCGCAAGCTGATGGCAAACTGGCAATGACTGCATGAAGATAATATTCCTCGAAGTAGAAAAGTTCTTTTTCGAGTCAGTTCCAAGTATTGATCGTGATTTTTCCATCAAGCAAGGCATATGGGCTTAAAAAAGCATCGACGTCTGTAAACTAAGTGTTAGGTCTGTAACCCTAACACGCAGTCATGAACCATTCGTTGCCTTTTGTTTTTCAAGCGGCCCGGGACATGTCAAAGGTGCTGCACGCCTGGAAGATGGCGAGCAGGTCGAGTGGAGACCCTGACAATAACGACCGATGACAAAGTTCGTCGAACTAAGACCGTAGTCCCTTTTCGCTTCGTTGTTTTTTAATATTAAGTGTTTTGTTTTAGAATACTTGACGTGAGGGTATGTAGTAAATCTCTAGATTTCTTTAATTAAGTTTTAGTTCGGTTCATAGAAAAGTAAGGAGAAGAAAGAGTTTTAGTCGCGCTTTGTACATTCACGAAGCTATTTATAGCCAATCTCGTCCCCAGAGCCGGCGCGTTTTTTGTCAGCGGTGACCGAACGCGCGCTCTGGACGAAATCAAAAACTGAGACAAGAAAATTCCAATCTCGTCCCAGAGACCGCTTTTCTTTTGGTCAGCACCAAGAACGAGGACTCTGGCAAGTGGCAAAGAGAAGAGTTTGACTTGGGTCATGGGATGTCGGGTACATCCCATGTACCTAGAAGTTTATTCTAACCGGAGCAACCATAGCTACAAAGGGGAATAGCTATGAAGCTAAACTTTACATAGAAAACACAATGCCAAGATTTACGTTGGAAGGTCTACAACCGTACACAGTCTTAGCGCTCTTACACCGTGCGTGAGTTACGTAACTGCAACTTTTCTATTGCTGAGCTGCTAAGACAGAAGTGAACACCTATTTTGTTTATTGCACGTTCAAGACCAAACAAGAAAACAAAAAATAAAGCAAAGAACATTGCTGGGCTTCATAGCCATTCACCTGTCAACTATGGTACAACAAATCGATCTTGGACACTGTAACGTTAAGTAAAAAAAGTTAGGTTTATTGTATGACAAATTGAAATAAAAAACAGTAAAAAATTTTTGGTCTTCAATATTTGGTAAGCGGGTCAAAAAACGTACAGACCGAGGCTTACGCGTTTGAATTTCTCGTTTCATTAACAAGAGCGGAATATTCATCTCCATTTTCGTCGTCATTTTCAGTTCCATCTCCTGGATGCAAATCTTCTATCGTGGGCTCGTTGCGAGTTTCTGGTAATGTCATGCACACAATCGCTGTAACTAGCGATAAGCCGCCCATAATCCCAAATGGCAGGTAACGATTAACAGTGAGCTGTACACAGAATGGAAACAAGTGAAAATAATTGAATAAATCACCTATCACGTAGTTCGCTTAATAATATTGCTGCATAAAATCAACAATGGTCAATTCCCACTATGAGACGCGCTTGCAGGGAATCATGGTACATGATGAATACAACTACCATGATTCCCTGCAGACACATGTCATCGACGGAATTGGCCATTAACCGGACGATCAATTATTCAAGAAGAAACGAAAGAAGGAAGGAGTAAATGATATACTTATATCATACAATAATGATATAATAGACTGTGATGCAAAAATTCGCTTACCAAGAGAGGGGCATAGACAGAAGCAAATGCACTAGTTCGGGCAGCCGCACTTGATGTCCCCATCGCAACAGTTCTGAGTGAAAGAAACAAATTGATTGACCGAGTGACTGACTGACTGACCGACCGATCGGCTCACCTAACTATCTTCTATCCGATGGACGAACAAACAGACTGAAAGACGGACAAACGGACGGAAGGACGGAAGGACGGACGGAGAGACAGACAGACAGACAGACAGACAGACAGACAGGCAGGTAGGCAAGCAGGTAGACAGACAGACACACACACACACACACACACACAAGCCTCGTTGAATCAAGCCTCAAGAGTATGCTTTCATATGTTTTCAGAAAAATTGTATTGCTAGAATTTTCCGCTCATTTTAGTGGTAGAAAGCACGTATTATTCATTACTTACCTTACTGTTGTTGGAAACAGTTCTGCAGAGTAAATGTACACCAATGTAAAGGCAATATCTCCACTTAACTTAGCCACGAACATATACATGAAGATTTTTGCAGCCAAGTAACCTGTTAAATCAAACCAGTGAAAATTGCACAAATTAGAAATCAGATCTTCTTGCATAATTCGTTCACTGACTCAAAATTTTACAGTGAATTTTTCTCTGAGTTTCTTTTCAGGCTTATCAATACTTCGGGTTACAGCTGAGTGTCCATCTTGTTAGGGCTTCTCCCGATTTTCACATCATTAAGAGACTAGGAGTATCTCCCCTTCCCCGGATAGGACGCTAATCCACCCCAAGCATTTAATTCATAAGTCCAGATAAGGAGAGGCGCTATCTTGCCCAAGAAAACAACGCTGACTGCAGACTGGGATTGAGCCCACTCCACTCGAAAAGGAGTCCATTCCAGCACGCCATTCCAGCACGTCATTCCAGCACGCCATTCCAGCACGCCATTCCAGCACGCCATTCCAGCACTCCTATGAAAATTTCGCGATCAGTCTCCAGAATAAAGGAAGTGAAATTTCGCCCAAGAATTACGTTTGTATGTTCGCATAAAGTACCTTCTCGCTTTCGTATCAACCCCATGCATTTTACTAATCATAGACCATAATTTGTTGAAGGACAATGACTATTGCCCAAATTTGACATAAGATGTCAAAGAATATAGTATCGAACATCATACTATTTTTACGAAGGATTTCCTCTGGACACATTCACATCTACGAGTGGTTCATAAGCAAACAAAGACTATCCCTTTGAACGACTCTGTACCTTTGTCATTCTCAGCCAGATCTGACAGAAGAAGCGCACCAACAGTTCCCACAGCGCCCCCAAGAAACGACGCCGACACCATTTTTCTTCGACCAATCCTGTTCAAATCAACAAGAGAAAACGTTATGTTAAATATACTCATACTGGCTAAGCTAGTTTCGTAAGGTAAAGTCTGCATGCGAGCCAAGTGGATCATCAGGCTGGAGCTTATCCCGGTTTCTGTAGCATGAAGCGACTAGGAGTATTTCTTCTNGCAGGGTTACCCCCAGCATTAAATCCACCAGTACACATTTATACACCTGGGTGGAGAGAGACACTGAGAGTAAAGTGTCTTGCCGAAGAACACAACACAATGTCCCTGGCCAGGGTTCGAACCCGGACCGCTCGATCCGGAGTCGAGCGCACTTGCCATGAAGTCACCGCGCCTCCCTAGCTTTGTTTCATAGTATTACGTAATTCTTGGGGTTTAGAACTTTAAAACGAACACTTGCAATCAGTTTCTTGTTTCAATAGCAACAGCTTATCAACTATAAAGACAATAAACCCATTCTACACTTGCAATCGTACTGCCTCACCGAGGTATGAATGGCCACAATCGGTTGGGACAGTTTGCGACGTTTTACATTGAGACGGTAAAGTAGGACGCAATTCGAACCCAGGACCAAATTAATTAAAATCGCCCAGCTCTTTCCTCCGTACAGGCTTCTTTAGCATCGCCTTAGGGAACATAAAACGCGTGTTGGATGACGGGAAGAACGAAAGAGGAAATGCGGTCTTCCCTTTTCCCTCTCCTATGGCTTCTCCTTAGCACGCCTTTTCAATCTCTTTTGTACTTAATAACGTCTATGAAGGGTAGCAATTCCCAGAGTAATATCACATGAATTAAAATAAAGAGAACGTCGTCTCTTACTTCAGTGTCAAACCGGCCGAAATAGGATATGCAGGCAATGTGGCAAGAGCAGAAATCGAAATATTGAGGTAAACGTTCCCTCCAAGGAATGGTGCGCTGAATGATATACCCCAGGAGATGAAAGAAGCAGTGAACCTGTTTTGTAAAAGAGAGAAATAGTTTAGTTTTACATAAAGGAAGTAACCGTATAAAAACCATTTGAATACTAAGTAATCACGTTCAGCTGTGTAAAATTACCATCACTTTTTACATCCCAACACATTTTTTCCCAATTAAAGTTATGACAAAAATTTAACTCCAACATAGCGGATCCAGATTGCGGACTTTTATGAAATGTATGACGTCATTAGTTTCAAGCATGGTACATGTATGAACAAACGATAATACGCTTAAAAAGCGAACATGATCCTAAAGTTCTAAAGGCAATTTTGATCCTAAGTAGATGAAATGTTGATAAAACACTAGAGGAAACAGTAAGTCTGTTTTACAAGGTAAAAGCTAATAAAAAAGACTGAGAATTTCATTCATACTTACCACATAAGCCAGGAAGCAAGCGTCTTATGAGTCATTTTCGCTGACGAAAACAAGTCACGAAAATCCCCAAGTCTTTCTTTCTTCTCATCATTGGGTAATTTCAGTATTACGTCCGGCATCTTTTTGCCATTTACCTTGGCGACATTGCATAACACTTTCCTAGCTTCGATCACCCGACCTTTCTTTAAATACCATCGAAAAGACTCTGGGGTGGACCTGCGGGGCAATAACAAATAAATTAGGAACCGGTAATTACGAGAACAACATCGGCAATCGGCATGGATAATAAAATATATAAACTAGTAAATTTTGCAAACTAGTGGACAGGACACTTCACTCCAAGAAAGTCTCTCACCATCCTGCATGTCAGGGCAAACTCACAAAATACTGAGCGGGAGTTTATTTCCGATGGACTGCTGATAAGTTGGTATATTTATAAAAAGCTAAGTGTTTCACTTTCCACACACCCCAACATACAGTTTTTTTTAAAAAAAAAAAGGCAACTAATACCTCTGTTACTATGGATTACGACTCATTTCTCAGCAACGTAGTTACACCGATCTTCTGCCCATATTATTCCTTTAAATCAATTCTTAAGGTTTTATCTGTTAACAGATCAGCACATTTACAATGAACGCCCAGGAACAAACGTTTTGCAAAGGTGTTTGCCAAGAAACCCAACAAAAACAAGTTCTGGTTACTCACAACCAACAAGGCACCAATAAAATCCCTGGAGCTCCAGATAACACTGTTAATTTTCTCCAATCTCTGATGAAGTATGCCATTCCTGCTAAACTCACGATGGCCGCCACAAAACCGAGCCAAATCAGAGATCCGGCAGTGCTTCTATGGCGAATTCCAGAAAACTCAGTTGCTAACACGAATACCGGAATACTGAAAGCACCTACAACAATATAAATAAATCAATAATGTTAATTAGATCTGAGGTAGGTTTTAAAAGCTAATTGCACAGTACGCTGTCAAGTCATTATCATCTGTGAAAAAAAAAAACAGCTAACGAGCACATCACTGTCCAATGACCAATCGCATTAAATGTCTTTACACCTTTACTATTAAGCCTTTTTTTATTCCAAATTCAAACCGTGATGTTTTGATTTCAATTTTCATAATGAAGACAAATTATTATTATTAGGCCAGCGATTCCCGATATTTCCAGATGGTGCATCTTACGTTTTCCCGCCCTTTTGTTTCCATGCTCGACGCCGACCGCATCTGTTTGCTTTACTGAAGCCCCGTCCACACTACGCCGAAGGAATGTGTAAACGGGGGTTTCACTCTGAAAACACATCAAATGTTTTCCGTCCACACTACGCCGGAGGAAATTAAAAACGCAGCAATCACCGGTCATTTTGGATTTGTGTTTGAGGAAAACTCGGTCAGGGAAATCACGTGATTATCGTGACGTCATCGTTTTCGAAAAACTCCGTTTCCAAAACGTTTTCCGTCCACACGAAAACGAAAAGCCGGCGTTTTAAAATTCCTCAGGTTTGAAGAGCGTTTTTGAAAAGCTCCGTTTTCGTGACGGATTATTGTGGACGGTAAGCCTAACCGAAGAAAAAAACATCCGTTTTCAATTTCCTCCGCCACAGTGTGAACGGGGCCTGATTCACTTAGGTTCACTGACCAGATGTATTTACTTTGGTTTTAGCTTTGATACGCTTGCTTACCAATCATGAATCCAGTGATACCACGACAGAGGGCAAACACCCAGAACGATGGAGCAAAGGCTGAAGCGAAGTTAAAAGCGCAGCAAAGAAAACCACAGATGAACAGCGGGTACTTCCTACCAAACTTGTCAGATATGCTACTCACAAAAATGCTACCAATAAAAAATCCCAAGAAGATCACAGAGGTTGAGATAAATCCAAATGAACCACGTTTGCACACCAGTTCAAACTGCGGAAGAAGTAGTAAGAACATAGAACATTAATGCGTTTATGTTGGTCGTGGACGGTTGGTTAGGAATCCCACGTTACTGGAACCAGAGATCCAGTCCACTGGTACGGTTAATTTTTACTGTACGATCGTGATAGTGGCGAGTTTAAACCACCACCCCCCCGCTGTGCTTGTACATCCACAATCAAGGACAAATTTGTCTGGACGGGTCTGATCTTCTTTGCCTCTAAAAAGCTGCTTTGCAAGATTTCATAAAAAGAGTAGAAACAGAACTGCGACAGAGACAGTAGAGAAATGTCCCAGCTATTTTGTGTGTGATTTCAGCTGTGCCTCCTTCCAGAAGGTCCAGAAGGGATTTGCAATATGTTTCACCATTACACTAACCCTTAACCCTGGACAGCAGGTACACTGCTCACTGCTCGATCGTTCTTTTTCATGACCTTGACGTAATGGAAGCAGAAATTGTCCCTTTCGGCCACTAAATTTCCGAAAGCTACAATTTATAAATAATTATTGGATGAGGTTTTTGTGACTGATATCCAGAATAATCAAAGTCGAGGTAGGGGTTATCGGCCGAAGCCGAAGGCTGAGGCTGATAACCCTTACCGAGACGTCGATTATTCTGGATATCACAAAAACCGAATCTAATAATTGTTTTATTATACATTGAACGAAAAAAATGGAAGTCATGTTTTTGCTTCTTCAATGACGGCAAGCAACACAAAGCGCGCGAACTTGACATGATTACCCGTGACCTTGAGTGTCCTTGACATAATTATTGTATAATCTGCAGATATGACGTCACAGGCGCTGATTTCGAAAATTTACTGTACGCTTTCGGCCAATAAGAAAAGAAATAGTGAGTTCAATGTATAATAAGTACTGTTATTCAATTGATGTCTTGGTTATGGTGTGGCATCAGTTACAAAAGATTATCGTCAATGATGACCAATCATGGACCCGACATCTCGATCAACTTAATTATAAGTCCAACTTTCATTTTATACAATTTTATTTTTGTGACTATTACTGCCCTTTCTCACGTCAGATATCCATTCGGACACGGTGGAAACAAAAATCAAAATTTTCTGATTCTAATCGAATACTAAATACTTAGCAAAGTTCACAATAAAATCCATGTTTGTACATGTACCTTACCTCGGTGACGACTGACGTGAAATCATTTCCAAATTCCCAATCTTTTCTGGGAATATCACATCTGTAGGAGTAGTTATCATCTCCGAGTCTTATAGTCTCCGTAAAGGGACATGTGGCGTTATTTTTACATTTCCAGCCTGGATCCGATGCAATAAACACCATGACCATCACAGGTATGCCCCACCAGAACATATAAGCCAGGTTGCAAAATACGTTGAGCAGAATTTGGTAGCGGCCAAAGCTGCCAATGCTCTCTAACAGCTCATCAGTGCTTAGTTCCATTTCTACAAGAAAGAAGTAAATAACACTACTATCTAGCTCGCTAATGTTGTTGATAATATTTACTTGCTAAGATGTAAACGTCAGTGGGAAAAAGGGACATATACTAGTATTGGGTTCCCTAACGGTCAAGCACAAAACTTCAGCGCCACTTCAGTCGTGTTTTCGTGGCCTCAGAAGTTCTTAACAGCTTAAAGTGAGAGACTATCGAAAAAAAAACGCTATAAAAAGAGAAGTATATGCGTTAAACCAAATTGCGAGGCGATAAACCACATGTAGGCGTATGTAAAGTAATTTTCGTATTTTGTTATTGCAGTCAGAGTTGAACGTTTGTTTTGTTAAGTTGTAAGTCCAAGCTCATTTTATTTTTCTGACCCTTATTCCATTTACACAAAATAGTTTTAGCTAAAAGAAATACAAAATCAAAAAAAAAACAAACAAACAAATGCGAAATTACATGAAACTAGAAAAAAAAGTGTGTAATAGTCAAAGGAGCAAAAGCTTTCGAGCCGGCCATTACCACTGTTTACCTTACGACCAATACAGGTGGGCAGGCATTGACTAGCAATTGAGATATTCCTTTGTGTGACCAAAATATCGAGACCACCACAATAGTTCAGTGTTGTAACGTATAGGAAGATACGGGTTTGCTGCTATGAGAACCTCCCAGGAGTTTTGGGAAACAAGGGAATTTGATCATTTACTTCAAAGGAGGGATACTGTTTTTGGACAAATCTGAGGAACAAAAGATATCCGCGCTATGACCGCGGAAACACAGGAGAAAATGCGGCATTTTAAGGGAATGAAGTCTTTTTCCACACAACAAAATATAGATAAAACAGAGATTTAAAAAATGTAGTGGTTCATGAACGAAAATTCACTGAGTTAAAAAGAGTTCAAAAGCCTAATATGATATTTCATATCACCAATTTTTCACGAAATTCAATACTAATTCCGCTCTCAATCATATCTAAACCCACTGCTTTTGGACCTCCTGTAAGCAACCACTTGACAGATTATTAATAGAGCGTACATTGGATACCAAAGGGTGTTGTAACATTATCGCATTGTTGGGTAGTACAAGAGACGGAAATTTCTCAATGAGAAGTACCAGATTTTTTTCTCGAAATTGACTTTTCACATGAGTAAAACAGTTGAACTATGGGGTAAGTCTCTGCAATTACCGTATGCTAATGAGGCAAAATTTTGACCCAATATGGTCTTAGCTCTCGTAAGCGACCACCACCCGTAAGCGCTTACGGGAGGTTCGACTGTAGATGAACTAATTTGGATATAAATTGAGATCTTTTACGTAAAGAGGGAAGAGTATCGGACCCAAAATTGAACCTTGAGGAACAACGTTTGAGTTTTCCAAAGGTGTTGAATCTCGGTACCATTAAAAGAAACGAACATGTTTCCCCTTTAGGAAACGTCGAATAAAAACGTAAACGTCGAAACAATAGGAAAGAAAGAGAAGATTTATCCGGGTTGATATCTTATCAGCACAGCTATGGAACTCGAAAGAAACCGAAACCGCTATTACTGTCTTGAAATTGAAATACAAATGGCGTCGTGAGTGTCACTATCAATCAAGGATTCTTTTTTCTTTTCTTTTTTAAGCCGAAAAAGCAAAATAAACTTACTTCAGTTGTTGGTTAAAAAAGGACATAATCTTTATCCTTCCAGTTTCTTAATTGTTTTGTATGTAAGCTAAATGAAGACAGGCTGAACTCCCGGGGGGTACTTCCAGAAAAATTTGGTGGGGGTGTGCGGCCCGCTTCCCAAAACCCTTACCCTATTTATGACCAAAATCTGCAATTTTCCCTACCTTATTTATGACCTGACCAAAATTGCGATACCCTATTTATAACCGTTGCGGCTGACACAGTTACCCTAAACATAATTTTTGAAAGGCTCTTGTTGATGGCCTTATCGACCCTTTTTAAGACCAAAACGGCTTAATCGATACCCTATTTATGACCAAAGCGGCTGAAAAACCATACCCTTTGGGNGGGGGGGGGGGCGCTTAACTCCACCACTGCCTCTTGTCATACTTCAAACATAAGATACCTGTGATGTTGTAGTACACTGCTATAGGCATACTCGTATTGAAAATTAACAACGATAGTGACTATTAGTTTCGTTTCCTCAGAAACATGTTTTGGCTTCAAGAATGAGGTTATCAGTACTATCCAATCAGAGTTAAGTTTGTAATTGGCAATGTAAACGTACTACTGATAAGCACACGTTATTTATAGTCACAAACATAAATCAGTGAAAATTAAAATGTACCACAAATTGAACTGAAGTTTTGACGAGTGAAGTGATTCTTTACTACATTTTTAAAACCGATCTGATCCGACGTAAATAAAAGCAAACTTTCCGCCAAAAATTCAGGGCGTAGAAACAAAAAGTAGCATGGTAGTACACCATTTCAACTGTTTATCTCATACAAAAATAGGGAATTAACCTTCAAATTCTCGTTTATCATTATTATAATTATTGCAAGACAAACCTGCAACGTGGACCTTCAACATAAATAAAAAAGAAAATGAAATGTATCTTCGAGGGATAGACTCTGCCACAATGGCCCACAATATGTGGCGCACTAGCTGGACAGTTAACAAAGTTATATTCAATGATCAAATGTACCAGTATATTTTATGCCGATCAAAGCAATTTTTGCGGGTTTTTAGCGTTTTTTTTTTCCAACCGTCAATGAAACGGTACTGATTTGAGTTTGGAGGTCAGCACTCATACTAACAAACCGGCATAACACAAGTAAAGGACAATGTACTGGGATGTCCAAGACAAGCAAGCTGAACAACAAATTATCTAGTCCCCTAGAAAATAAAGTATTTATTTTACGACTAAAATGGTTCTATGTTAAATTGAGAGCATTTATAAACCTTTATAATGGATAAATAAAAATAAGCGTTTATCATGATTTGACCAAAACTGAATCCGGAAGGTTTCAGTTGCAAAACAAATGGAACAGCAATTTTTCAGAAATTTCGTTGGACACTGATTGTGGGCTACGTTTTGAGGTGGTCATTTATATTTACATTTATATTGGTTGGCGAGAACCGTCGCAATTCTGTAGTATTTCTTATCTCCCATCTTCGGTAAACAATAACTGGAAACTGCATCTTTACCTCCTAAAACCAACCGTTTTTTTTTTTTCAGGTCTGAAATAACAATCACCTCCAGGTATCTGTGGCCGTGTTTAATTATACAATTACATATTGGAAAGATGGTAACTAGCTCTGTAAATCTAGATGAGCAGACATGCTCAATGAGTCCAAAACAGCACAGAACTTGAAACTAACTGTAACTGCTGCACAAGTCCAACAGCACTAGGCTGGATAACTATAACATTTGTAACAAGAATCTTCTACATCAGGGATAAACTCAGTACAGATAAAATGCAGAAAATAAACTTCAGTTTATAGGATGAAAACACTAGGGAAGAAAGCACAGTACAATTACATGTATGTGTAGAAATGGAGCCACTGAAATCAATAATGCAATGTATTATGTAACAACACAAAAAACTCTTGACTTACATGTATACGAGACCAGAATCAGTAAATTATCCAGGGGGTGAGCAGGTGTTAACTTTGTGACCAACATTGTGGGAGAACAGAGAACTATGAAGTCACACAAGGATATCAAGATGAGACTACTATGCATGATCTTGATTGGCATGGTGGAAAGCAGCAATGTGTTTGGCCCCAAAATAACATGTCATGCTGGTGCATGGGGCTAAACTGCATTGCACTATCAAGATTGCCAGCTCTGGCAGGCCTAATTTACCCTGAGGAAATGCCTCGTGAATGCTTTCAATTCACAGAGGAACTATAATAAAGAGATTGCAGTAAGACAGTGCAAATCATGCAGACAGTAGGACTGGTATGTCAAAACCTCTGGGATACAGAGACAAGGCAGTTAAGTTTATTTTAAACAGCACTTTTTTAAAAATGAAAAATTTGTCCAAAAATGGTAGGTTTCTCTATTCCATGTTGTTGGCAAACAGGAAATACACCATCGCGTGATATTCAAAACTCAACTCACATTTAGCGAACTAAAAATCTTAATGATGATCTTGGATACATCAAGGCCTTGATAAGTGTTACTCTTAATATTTGTTAAATGCTTTTACAAGCTACTGATCCTCCAGTGTGTACCTAAATATCGAAATTGTCGGCTTTCCTGTGAAGCGGTCATACATGTAGTCCAAAATTAAGAATTACCAATCCGTCTGAGGTTTTAGTTTCATAAGACCCCAGCCTGATCAATCGATGAAACTGATAATCGATAACAATCAACAGCAATCGATAACAATCAATAACAATTAATTGATCAACACCAGAAATTGATGACCAATCGAAGAACAAATATTTTGTATTATCATCGATTGCCATCGATTGTCATCGACTGTCATCAAACTGTCATCGATTGTTATCGATTATCATCAGTTGCCATCAACAGTCATCGACTATTATCGATTCCCATCGATTATCATCAACTAGCGATTTGATTGACTTCCATATTTTTTGGGCAGGTATATAAAATAAATATTGTATCTAGACTTGCCAAAGAAGTTACTAACACAATAAGCGCTACGCTAGTTACTTCTACTCTAACTTAGCCGGGAACTTAGGTAGGTCAGGAGAGTAAAATGAGGAAAGATGGTCGATGCTGAACGCATATGGTGTTGACACGTTAAATAAACACCCAGCAGGAAATGACCAATGTGTAATACCACTTTATGTCAATGTTGTAAGTTAAAACCCCGGGATTAAACGTAACAAATGCTTGGCTGCCATTTCCCTTGTGAACAACAGCAACAATACTTTCCTGATCTTCATAACAGAACCAAATTCAAAACTATAATTCTTTACAAAACATAAACCGTGACTGCAATAAAAATGTTCCCACTGGTGTAACGGATACTTTGCTCCTTTGTTAAAAGTTCACCAGTTGGTAGAGTATTTTCATTCCCTTGATATGTTCTTTCAAGAATTATCCATAGTGCTAATTGCATTGAAAGTGATCCTGCTAAATAATAGCAATCGATAGCAATTAGAGAACTCGAGCTTGTGATTATCGATTGGTCATAGATTGGCCGATAGCGATCAATAACAACTAACCAATTGTCATTGATTGATATCCATTGACCAATTGGATTTCCCATCATCAATTGTCATCAATTGATCAGGCCAGAATAAGACATAAAAAAACTCTCAGAACTTGTCGTTTAGCCAAGATGCAGCCCGACAAGATACTTCGTTAAGTAACAGAGCATGTTTGAATTTCAAAGCTTTGTGTTGCATGACATGACATCCCGATACAAAGTTCTACAAATTTGGGTAAAATACTTTTTTCCAAATAACGTGCATATGAAAAACCGCACAGACCTAAATCATCTATCATATTCCAGATTCTTGATCTTATTCATTGAATGGTTACGACTTTTATTTTTGATGGTATGACAGTGAAAACCGGCAATGGCCACAAGCGTCGTTGGTGTCACGCAACGCAAAAATGGCGACCCCAACTGCGATCGGTGTTGTACGATTACGAATACTCAAAAACAATGGAAAAGTTAAAATAATTTTACCACACGAGATATTTAAGGGTGCTTTTCAGGTCCATAGTTTTAAATAAGGTTAGGAGAATAGAAAAAAACTATTTGCGCGTTGACTCAGTAGCGGAACATAAAGTACGGACGCTTATAATTCTTATGTAAGCGTGATAACTGTTTACAGTTTCTGCAGACGCAATAAATGTAGATGTACATGTTTCGAGCTTCTTGGGCTTCATGCAATGTTTCCTGGTTTAGAACAGTTAAAAATAAACTTCATTTACACTAATAATTTATCGCTTGCATCAAAAACCTTCATTGAAATAAACTGGGGTTTTGCCACAAACGCTATGAGCGCTTTCGAAGAGTAGAGGGAGGAAGCGAAATGACCTAAAATATAGACTGTACACTTTGGTCAGTCAGTATTAAAGCGATTCGTTCGCTGAAATGAGCCGAGAAGGGCGACGAAGGAAGTCAGGAATCAGGAAACTGTGCTGACAAACTACAATTATAGATCGGATCGAGAAAACGTTTAAAAGATAAAACTAAAGCGGAAGTTAGGAAGCTCGACTCACCTGAGGACATGGCGTCTGTTGACTCGAAAACTCCGAAGCCTTTTATGAAGCCAGGTTAAGAGAACTCCCCATACCTTTAGTAAGAAGCAGAAACACACCGCTCTTTATGACGTTGTGTTATCCAATCTTTTTGATGAGATTCACATACGATATCACGATATCATATTCATTTGTATGACCGCCGACAGAGCAAAGCTGAAGTACTTCATGTACTCGATACCTGTATTTTGATACCTATCTCGGGCCACTGGACGAGAAATTTAATTATACCAAGATTTTAAGGTGGCTGAACACAGTTTTTGATACCTGTGTTTGATTCACCTTTTTCTCTAAAACCCTTGATCCCTCGGTCGTCAAAAATGGAAGCAAGCAAGTTAACAACATAAACTTTGTTTTTTTTATGGTTAAGCTGACGTATGTGCCATTGCCATGGCAACATGAATAAATATAAACAGGCCTTCAAAATCGGTTTTGTTTATTTGTAGAAAATCTAGTCATTAGTTTTTCTTTATAATTTACATGCAACAAGCTTGTAACGATTCTCACAAGTTAACTCCATTTTGCTAATAATTCAACAGAGAGATCTTTAATTATCCCTTGTTGACGGTTAACTGAAATATCTAGAATTTCCTTTGCTAAAGTTCAATTATTTTCAATATTCCAGTCACTTATTTCCTAAAGTATTTTCGTGCTACATTTCGTGAAATTCTAAGGAGTGGTTCTCGAGAAATAGGCGTATTTCCGAGAGTGCAATTTCTCATTCAATCGCAATCTTTTGACTTACTACGCATGCGCTGCATTTAACTGGGTTCTTTCGGTAACAAAGAAAAAGCTGAGAATTGCTGGGTTCTTTGCATCGTTAACTTTCCTAACATATCTTTGTAATAAAAGACTAAAGCCATCAATACACTGCGTTTAATTATAGAGAAAAATAGCACAGATAGTGCGGGTATTGAGAAAATAAAAGGATCGCTCTATTGACGGCATGTTTGTTTTCTGCAATCCTTGTGCGCGCGCTGGATTGCATCAGCGAAAGCGCGCGCAAAAACTGTGTTCGGCCACCTTAACTATGTTCAACCCTGGTTTCCTTCCCCAAAGTATGCGCTGGTTGATCTCTAACTCAAGCCGTTTGATCGCAGCTCCTACGGAAGTTAACAACAAATCAGAGAAAAACACACTGAGACTGCGCAATGCAGACTGTAGGTGCAGATTCCGATGGTACTGAAAATTCAGTCTGCCGACCGGGATGCAGTCTGCCTACGGACGTTTAAGGCATAAATCGCGTTGCCATTTCTATTATCGAGAGCTAATCGTAAGTAGACTAACCTATGCGTTTACATTCAGGCTAATCAAAGTGGGATAAAGTTCCTGTTAGCTCGAATAACACTCAGGTCAGCCTGTTTTTGGCTAGCTCTCGATAGTTGAAATGGTAGCATGAAATATACTTAAAACGTCTGCAGTCAGCAATTTGCCCCTAGCCTGATAAGTCTGTATCTGTCCCCGTTCTTTAGTTACTCTAATAGAACATTTTTAGTCAGCTCCAACCGTGAAAAGTAAAGAAAAGAACGGAAATGAAGTCAGAAAGAGTGTAAAAAAAAAGCCAAGAAATCTGAATTTAACGCATTTTAATTTTTCCTGCTAACAGAAAACTCCAGCGAAATACAGCTTACCAAGAGAGGGTGGGAAGCGAGCAGCAACTTCGTTTACGTACTTTTTCAAATGCGCAAGAACAGATCTTCTCTTCCAGGGGCTTTCACCCCCTCTCCCCACCCTCCCGCCGCCCCCACCTCAAATTCATCAAGACATGGTAGTCAATGGTGAACTCCGCCATTTTTCCTCCCGTGCTTGCGAAAGCAAATTCAAAAAAAATCCACAGATAATGTTGAGGAATTTCGCCGGAATTTCGCCGAATTTTGCCGGAGAGAGATATGGGTCAGATATGAGTCACAGGTAGTCGCTGGCGTTCGGCTGGTTAGGAGCTGCGCGAGCCTGCGTAGCAAGCGTTCCCATACGAAGAGCTTTTCCGCATTCTGGTGGCGCGTAAATAATTGGAAGGAGAGCAAAACTCGGAAACGCTTGCTACGCAGCCTAGAGCTGCTCAAAACCCCGGGGGGTACTCCCAGAAAGGTTGGTCGGGGGTGTGCGGCTCACTTCCCAAAACCCTTAACCTATTTATGGCCAAAATCTGCGATTTTTGCGACCGTTTTTATGTACTGGCCAAAAATTTGATACCCTATTTATGATCGTTGCGGCTGGCACAGTTGCCCTAAACATAAGTTATGAAGGGCTTTTGTTGATGGTCTTATTGATAATGATGAAAAAGTAGCTTTTTCTAAGAAATATACCCAATTCAAGACTAGAGTGCTAAAACCATACCCTATTTAAGACCAAAATGGCCAAAATCGATACCCTATTTATGACCAAAACGGCTCAAAAAGGAACTAGAACGTGGTGCTTTGACTTAACTTTATTGTACGTATTCAAGCACCGCCATTAAATACCAACTTTGAAAACTTAATGTTTCCAAGAGATGATGTTTCATAATAGCCGTAGAGGATAAATTGGTTGAAATGTTAAATATCTAAGACTATAAAAATGGTACTCAAGTGAAGAAGTAGTTGGAAGGGGGGGGGGTGGTAATGACCGCGTTTCACTCGTAATGTTAACAATATTTATGCGTCATGCAATATGTGATATTCATAAATTTCCGTACTAAATCTTGCCCTTATCATGCGTAAACCCTTCTCTACCGTCTACAAAAATCCCATTAATAAGTTCGTTTGCACCTCTGAGAACTCAGCGCTTGTATATTCTATCCAAATAACGTGGGTACTTGATAGAACCAAGAATCCAAAGACAAGCAAGGAAGCTTGAATTTGCTTTTGTTTGTTGAAATGTTGGATTTTGTGCATATGGGGAACAGGATCAGGTAGACTTATAAGAGATGCAAGGCTGTTCAAACTACTCAAATAATTTTTCTTCTATGCTCTCACACGACCTCAAAAAAGAGCAAGATAAAACGCTGATATATGAGAAGTCTCCCGGAGGGACTCACATAAAAAGAACGGGGTTGCTCGTCGGAAATTTTGAAAAGAATCCCTTACAGGTACCAAGATCCTGTTTTGTAGGCGTGGCTTGAAATTTTGTTCACCCTTAATTCTGAAACAACACAATGTTTCCTGTCATATTTTTTTGGCTCAACACCCTAAAAAGTTCCGCGAAAGCTCCCGCTGTGAACCTTTTTTGGCTAAACACCCTAACAGGTACCAAAACTACTTTTTACCCCCTAAAAGCTAAGACGAGCAACCCAGTCCTTTTCATATGGGAGTCACGCACCCCCCGCCCGGGAAAAGGTGTGAAAATACTGCTACTAACTGTGAATATAAGAAACGTGTGGAAGATCAAGTTTCATCATAATGCTTAGGCTTAAGCTAATGACCGAAGCTTGATCTGCATTACACATTAGACTCAAATTTTCGTCTCATTAGTAATTAGATTAGATTTTTCAGCTTCAACGTGTTCGTCTTTTTCATGTTGGGGATGCAAGTCTTCCATGGTCGGCTCGTTACGCGTTTCTGGCAAGGTCAAGCACAAAAGTGCTGTTACTAGCGATAGGCCGCCCATTATCCCAAACGGCAGGTAACGATTAATGGTCAGCTGCATATAGAAAGGAAACAAGTGAAAAAATAAATAATAACATAAATAAAATATGAAATAAATTAAATTAAATCATTAATTAATTGAATAGTTAAATAATTAAATGATTCGAACAGCTCGAATATAGACTTTTTGAGACTACCCTAAAGACTAATCAGTTAATTGAATAAAGCATAGGGTGGTTTTCAATTGAGTGTTGTAAAATCAAAACCAAAGTTATCACTCTAGCCAATCACAAAGGACAGACAATCCAGTGAAACAATCAAAACTCAAAGTAATTACATGTAGCTCTTGATAAGCCTTGCTAGTTATTTTGGCTCCTTTGCGAAGGAAAAAGGAATTGTTTTAAGAAGAAATTTGGCAAAAAGTATTTGAGAGAATCAAAGTTAAAAACTAAAATATTAAATGAATAAATACTTTAGTGAACCTCCCAATGGAGCTTTTCAGGAACAAATCACAGTATGGTTTCATTTTAACAATCCCCTTTAGCGAAAAGACGTCATTTTCTCTCAGGTCAAAGCGGCAATGCCGAGGTTTGAGAACATCCCGCAAAGACCGAACGTTCGAAGCTGATAAGTTCTTTTTTATTATATGGTTTTTTGCTTTGTTTTTGTAGGCCCGTATTAGGCTCAAACGCATTACGTGAGAATAATGCCCTAGAATTAGCCAATAAGGGCGCGATTTAATTATATCGGCTACAACCACAAGCAAGTAAGCAAACAATAGTGAGTTAAGGACTAGATTTGTACTTTTGACTAGATTAAAGACTTAAATTTTGAAATAATTAAAAAATCGCTTACCAAAAGCGGTGCATACACAGAAATAAACGCACTAATTCGGGCAACCGCAGTCGAAGTCCCCATCGCAACATTTCTGAGTGAAAGAGAGAAATTAATTGACCGAGTGATTGATGGACTGATTAAGTAGCTGACAAGGGGAATGACCGACTGAATGACTGACTGACTAACTGACACCTGACTGACACCTGACTGAC